AGTCCATTGTGTTATTATGGGTAAGGTCCCATAACAATTTATTTTGTGAATATCTGTATATTCATCTCTTCAGACCGAAATGTTTTACTAAAGTATTTCGGTCTGAATCTTTAAATTTTACTTCTTGATTATTATTAAATATATATATACACACACACATATATATATATATATATATATTGAGGAATCTAAATGGAATAATATATATATATATATTTGAGGAATCTAAATGGAATAATAATAATAAAAACGAAAGAATATTAATCTACAAACCCAGTGTGTCTAATTTTAATTTTTAATTTTTAAATTTTTAAATTTTTATTTTCTTATTATTCATAAATATATATATATATATATATATATATATATATACAATCCTCGCACACCTACATATGCACACTCACACACACACACACACCCCTATATACTTTCCTCAGTGACGGGATTTTTTCGATGTATTACAAATAAGGGTTAATGTAGGGCGGGTGAGATGGGCCGTTCAGGCAGACTAGACGATAACATCTGGTTTTTCATCTTTCAACGGGGGCAATGTGTTTTTAAAATACTAATGAGACTTTTTGCGTAGAACGACCCATATATCACTACCCTATGCCAGAAACCTACACAACCAGTCAGCCCTCCCACCAGCAGCCTTTGACTCGACCTATCATCACTCCACGGCAGGTCCATCTACATGCTATCACTACTGAAAACTATAAAAAAAAAAGGGCAAAAACAGCCGAAATTAAGCACGTTGAGAACAAAGAGTCACGACATTTCGAGGTTAAAACGTTGTCTTTTTTTATACATTCCCTTAGACACGGAAAAGAAAATCCCAAACTTCCTACAGAAGGTAAGGAAGGATAGCGAGAAGAAAGGACTAAATATAAAATACATGAAAATAGAATGTATAGTTATCAGTAGAAGGGGGACCCCAAAATGCAAATTACAGGTCGGGGATACCAAAAATAAGTAGATACAGAAATTTAAATATCTGGGAAGTATAACACTGAGATCCGAAGATGCATTGGGATGGCTTAAGATGCATTTCCAAAGCTAAGCTGAGTATTAAGAGACAGAAAAATTTCAATGGAAACAAAGAAAAGAGCACTGAATTGTTACGTGATATCTGTCCTCCTGTATGACAGCAACTACTGGGCAATCGCCTCAAAGACGAAGAAGAGAATTGAAACAACAGAAATGTGGTTCTACAGAAAGATGCCGAGAGTACCATGGGCCGAACATGTGAGCAACGACGAGGTTTTGGAGAAAATGGGGAAAAAAGGAAACTTACACTTAACACCAGGAAGAAACAGTTAAAATAAGGAAGGAGGGCTTGGAAAATCTGATACTCATAGCACAAATTGAGGGAAAGAGGAAAGCATCATGTAACATACATGATCACCTTGAGTAAATGAATGACGGAACAGGGTTTGGGAGACATAACGAAAAGACAAAACCTATTAAGAGCTACAAGAGACAGAAAGATGTGGATGGCCATGACTGCCTAGGGACCCAGCACATAAAAGAAGAAGAATTAGTTATTGAAGGAATTTACAATAATGTAGACGTAATAACTGCAAGATGATATAAATACATGAATGCCCTCGAAGTAATTGTCAGATAGTAAAGGGTGTTTCATTAAGACGGATCAAGGTCAGCAGTAAATAAATCAGTGTTATGGCTGAAATTTTATTTATTTCTCTATTGGATTAATTTTATTTAAGTCATGGCAGTTATGTGTGAAAAATAATATCGCCCAAATGTCCGCCACTCGATGGTCAAAACTTTTGATGACGTCTCTGCATAGTTACTCCTCGATCTCACCAATATGCCTTATTATCTCATCCTTCAGCTGTTGAATTGTTGTTGGCATAGACCTTACTTTTGAGATGACCCCCCAAAGGAAGAAATCTAAAGGCGTCAAGTCGCACGATCGTGGTGGCCAATTGATTTCGCTGTTTCGAGAGGTGATGCGACCTGGGAACTTTTCATTCAAATTCTGTTTGAACGTCCATTTTTGTAATAGGCTTCGAACACGTTGTTTGATTGTTAATCTTTCCATCGTTGAAATTGCCAAAGACTTAAGTTGTTAAATCTGAAAGAAAAAGAAAAAAACATTCAACGCTTAAACTTAATTCACATTTAAAATCGGTCCAAGTTATTAGAACAGCCTTTTTATCCTTTTATACTTATTTTTACTCAATGTCACGTGTTAAAGTTTCAAGTGTCAAATTGGAAAAGTTGTTCGTAAAATCAAACAAACTGGGTCGGTGGCAGATGTGAAAAAACCATTGCGTGCTCGTTTACGCCGTTCAGCTGAAAACATTGCTGCAGTGCACGAGAATGTGGCCGAAAATCCAGACCCCTCTAATCGTCATCGCGGGCAAAAATTGAAGCTCTCCACAACAACGTTACATCGTTTCCAATTGCACTCTCGGCTGGTCGATTATGTTGACCAAAAAAATCGCGAAATGTTCGAAATGCATTTCTGTTTGAA